CTTATTTTCGGAAACTCCCACATCCTCAGGTATTGCTACGACTGCTTCAAGGAGGAGCTGGACTCCGGAACTGTGCCCTGCTGCACTTTACCCGGGCCGGGGGTTTAAGGATTTAGGATGTTTAAGACTGTTGTAGTTTAAGAGCTCGATCAAAGGTTCTGTTTAGGCACCGGGTTAAGTGATTCGGGTTTGTTTTGGGAGTTTTTGGGCTTGTAAGTTTTAAGGCCGAGGGTTTATGGGTCTGTGGATTTTGTTGGGTGTAGGGTTTTAGGGTCTTATGTTCAATGGTGTAGGTTCGGGGGTTTCGAAAATTTAGTTAAGGATTCCGTCAAGGTCCGCGACGGGGTCCTTCTATTCTTAGGGTTCTACACGGGTCCTCTTGGATGTGTTGAACCGATAGGCATAGAACAATCGAATCAATAGGGTCAACAGTTTGCCAGGTTTTCACCAAGGTTGTTTTCATCGGGTTTCAGAGGGTTTTTGCACTTTATGTACGGGTCAGGGCTTTCTTCGAGCTAGGGAGAAGTGGTTCTAGGGTCCTTATCATAAGGATCAGAACCCTTACAGGCTAGATTACGGTCTTTTTTTGCCTTCTTCTTTAACATGCAGCGAAAGATCTGAAGCTATTGCTCCGCCGGCTCTGAAATCTGAATCCTTTACTATACAGGGGCCCTGAATCATTAGTAAACGTATGTATTCCTTAAGCTGCCATTCAGAGAATCACCAGTATAGCGTGACATGAAGCAATATACCCCGAAGCTCTAATTTGACCGCTCCAGGGGGCGTAGTTAGTCCCAGCTCTAAACCCCATTTGTAAACAACCTACCAGAGTCCCCTTCTTTAAGCATGCCTTAGACGAGCCGGAACCTTATGACAGGTGGACAACTACCCCACCGAATGTGCAACGCTCCCCAAAGAGCAAGCTTGCACGCTGGTCTCTCGACAAGACTAGTGGTTGGCAAGTTGGAGATTTATGTAGTGGCCTGGGGCTTGCGACAGCGTTCCCAAGTCTCTGTCTTTGGGGCTACCCATAGGCCCCATA